TAATTGTTGTTTTTAATTTTTACAATTAACCTCCCTGTGGTTCGACCTCGGTCTTGCCGGGTTATTTATTACTTCGACACTCCTGCACTTGGGAGAAGACATCAATCTTTTAGTCGTGTCACTATTCTACATGTATTATTCAAAATATCATTCATCTTTTTTATTGGAAACAAATCATTCACTAAGCAATCCAATTTTCAATCGGTTATCATATCAATCTTCATAATTTTATTACTTGTTCTTATTTTTATTGGGATTATCAATAAGAATGGTCCAACACTTTTTTCCTTTAAAATTCCAAGGTTAGCCACTCTTGGTTATTCTATTTTAATAATTTCATGAGGACTTTAAATTTACCCAATTGGTTTCTTCAATGGTATGATTATTTTGGTTGTACTTATAAAATAATGAAACCTCACGCTTTAGTTAAAAACGATTACATTTACTTCAAAAAAAATTTAAAACCCTCATAAATTGAAAAAAAAATCTCACTAATTCTTTTTTTTCTATTCTAATTTCTTTGTCCATTAGGTCTATTCTTGGCATTTTGACTACAACACTCAATATGGATATCATATCCTCATCAAAAGAGACAAAGTAAAATGATAGGGCTCTTTTGCAGTAGAAACTAAAAGTTTCAAACCTGTTGTCATCGAATGGTTACAAAACACCAAAATGCTCTAGTTTTATATCAAATTCTCAGTCCAAATTCTCGGCACGTAGATCTCATGCTTATGCTCTTCTTACCTCAGCACAATATGAGGAAAATTATTTAAAAATGAAGCAACTCCGACAAAACATCAAAGACAATGATTCATATCTATCTTTATCATCTCTAGGATCTATAATCGGTTTAGCAAATGACAATGAAAATGATCATTATGGTATCCTTCCTCATAAATCTTAGGTAGTAACTATCTCTATAAAAATTAAAATTAAAATTAAAAGGTCTAAAAATATTTTGGCTCATTTTATAAATTGAAATCCTCCAAACCATCAGGCTTATCTATTCATATCAACACAAATGGTTAAAACAACTAGCTAACATTTCAAAAAACTAATTCCCCACTTTTATAAATGACAAACAACTATCTAATTGGCAAGTAACTTTTTCAACCTTTTAAAAAAGCAAATCATATGTTTTACAAAAAAATTTAAGAAGACAATCTCATTTTGCCTTATATAAAAAGACTCCTCCCAAGCTTTTGAAAGCAGAACTTGATAGAAAAGTTTCTCAATATAAGATATCAACTATTTATTCTCTTGTAATATCTTATCTTATAAGGAGATCCATATTTATTGGATTCAAACATCTATAACTAATATCTCTTGTATTATTTAAATACAAATTTTAATTAAGGTTCTTTTAAATCTTACATTTAATATATCTTTTATTTAAATTATGTTTAAATTTGTGTAAACTTAAATATGCTTTGTGTTTGATAGAAGATTCTACCATTTTTAGACGTCACATTAAAAATTTATATGTCATATGTTTTATATTCTGTTTTAAAATTAAATGTATTAACTAGAAATCTATGAGTAGATCTTAAGATTATTTTTGGGTTTAACAACACCAATAACTTATTTATCTTCTTTTTTTTATCACATACTTATATTACTGTAAATACATTAGTTTGAATATTAACAAAAACTTAATAATATTTTAGCAATTTCGTATGAAGAATATATTTTTAATTTATGAAAGTTACCACTTTTGTAACTTGATGGATTGTGTCTCTCTCACACACACTATAATATAAATTCAGAGATATGAAAATAGAATTTTAAAATATTGTGAAATAAAATAAAATTAATATCAATAATTTTAGAAGAAAATAAACGTTTAAACTGCCAATAGCTTATTTTCAGGCAAAAATTACAAGGATTGCTATTTTTTTTTCCTCTTTCTTTATGAGATGATGCTAACATTAGTATTCTTTTGATATTTTATAGGTTTGGTTTTATTTTATTTTTCTAATGGATATGATTTTTATAAAAGATATGCATATGATAAATTTTATCTGAAATTTTCATATCTAATTAAATTACATTTTATTTATTGAAAAAATTTATAAAATTGATGCAATGTTAATAAGGTGATAGATAATATTTTTTTTTATTGTTGTTGAAATTGATAAACCCAACAATTGGGAAGGTAAAATGAAATTAATAATAATAAAACCTCTTATTTACATTCCCTACAATGTGTGTGCACGTTATTCGGACTTCTATTGGCAGGCTCACAGAGCCCATTTATACTTGCAATAGAGGACCCTAAAACCTAGATCATCCCAGCCCAGCCCAGCCACCTCAGCCCATTTTCAACTGTTTACATTAGGGTTTTACACAGTAAACTGTCTCTTTCTTTCCCTGCCACTCGACGAACAGCTCCTTTTTAGCAAAAAGACAACAAACCCCAAATTATTGCTATCCACAAGCTCCATTCTCTCCCTCCACTCCAACATACGCCCCCAAAAAACCCTGGAAACAGCCATAAAAGGCCTCCTCTTTCTTACTCTCTCCACTCCACTGTATAAAAAATACAATCACAACACAGCACACGCTCACAGCTGCTGTCTTCTCCATCCTTTCCCTTTTCCCTTTCCACTCCCTCGCTTTCCTCGTCCCCTTCCCTTTTCACCCCTCATTGTCTCAAAAATTATAATTTTGCCACTGTGCATTTTGCTCTTTAATTAGGGATTTTAATCACTGTGACCTCGCGCTCGCGCGCGAGAAAGAGTAGTGTTACGGTGATGGCGGAGAATGAGGGGGGAGATGATCAAAAGGGTAGTAGTATGGTTGGACCGAAGTCACCGTGGAAAACTCCGGTGGTCGCTGATGCTCCGGTGATGGGCACCGCCGAGTCTTGGCCTGCTTTGTCTGATGCTCAACAACAACAACAACAACAACAACAACAACGGTCGAAACTCACTGATTCTGCTTCTAAGCCGCCGCCGACAGTAACTGTGGCTGCTGGTGGTGATACGGCTGCGCCACAGGAAGCTTCGCCTCGGGTATTTCTAGTTATTTATTTATTTATTATGTTAAATATATGAGTGAATTTAATGTTAATTTATTGATTTCAGGGAAAGAAATAAAGTATTGGAAAGAGTGTTGATTTTTTTAAATTGAGTGAAAATGAAGTTATAATTATGTGCTAAAATGCTTTTAAGCTTGCTGTGGATTGATAAATTAATATTAAATAAAGAAGCACTTAAACTCATGTAAGATATTCGCGTCAATTTTGCAAATTTATAGTGAAAAATAGGATTTTAAATTATGGAGATAAGTTAAGCTCGTGTAAAAATGCTTTAGGATAAGAGATTCTCATGAGATGACATGAATCAATGATATTGAGATCTGTAGGTTAAGCGAAAAGTGTGAACTTTCGAACTATTAGTAGTTTGAATAAAGGTATAAAGATGTTTTTGGTTTTTGGTGTAGATTCTAATTGGATTTTTTTTTTTTATTTAGGATTGAGAGAGATATGATCAAATAACGAAAACCCATGAGGGGTCATTGATTTTCGGTGTGTTTTTAATTTATTTGTGTATGCATGTATATTTGATGTCACTTTGTCCATAAATAAATATATCGCATCATGCTTTAAAAAGAAGTAAATTTAACATTGGTAATCAAAATGTTTCAGGAAAGCATTGTATATTAATGTTTGCTATCTCTATATTAATAGTGGCAGTGTGCCGAGAACGGCTATTGATGAGTACTTTACAAAGTGGCATCCTTGATGCTGTCACTGTTGAAGTATTTTGTTTTGGTGTATAGTAATTTGATTTGGTGGAAAGAAGGTTATGATGTTCATTTTGCATTTTTACCACCATTTTCCAATATATTTCTTCGTGAGAGAAGATCATGTGTTTACTGGCTGAAGTGGAACATGATTTGCTGGAATTAAAAGAAATTGACAAGCATATGTATTGAGAGAAACAAATGTTGGAAACCATCTTTTCTCTATCCTGACATCAGAAAGAAAAATGGAGAACAAGAGAAAGTTCAGTTTTGCAGAATTTGGATTTGAAAACCTGGCTTCTCGAGAAAAAAACTAAGTAGCTCATTTTAGAGATGAAATGCCATCTAAATTATGTGAACTGCAGTTTTATGCTTGGTGTTGGGACATAACAAATTGGAATATTATCACGTGTTTTGCCTCTTCTTCTTTGTTTTGGCTGTAAGATGCATTATGTTTGGTGTTATGAAGTAATTAGTGGAGCTAGAGTTCCATAAATCTAATATCTAGTCAGATATCTTTATGATTCCAAAAGACCTGAAACAGGGTTTCTGATGTTCCCATGGAATCTTGTTATGCTTGCAAAAGCACAGTTAGAAAGCTGGCTATGCCTTGGGATTAAACACATAAATGCATTAAGTTTTATGGTTGTTACCAAAATGGAGTTTCAAAGATCAATCCTTTCCCCTCCTCCATCTTGTTTGTGAAGTTTATTTTATTTCACATCTTATGTCAATTGTTCTCTTTCTGGGAACACATTATTTAGTGTGCTTAATTTGGGTGTGAAATATCATTTTGCCTTATTTATGGTTTGTCCAGGGGTTATCTGGGCAGCAGAGATCACATGGATCTGGAAACACAATTTCTTCAAATAAGCATTCACCATCAAGACATCAAAAATCAGGATCTAAGCGCAATCCTAATGGGGCGCCACCTTTCCCTGCACCATTCCCTTATCAGCAACCACCCATTCCACCAGTTTACCCTGCTATAGTACCTCCACCACACGTTGCTGTTTCTGGTTTTGCATATCAACCTGGGCCGCCACCTTTTCCCCCTGTTGAAAATCATTTGGTAAAGTCTGGATCAGATGCATCCCCTAGGCAACCTTTTGTTCCACCTGTTAATGTCCAGCCTCCACCAAGAGGGGATCCCAATGCTTATGCTGTTAACTTTCCAAACCAAAGGCCAAATGGGCAAGAATCCGGTGGCCATTTGAATCAATTATGGCATCATCAACGGGCATTTGGGCCCAGAGATAACATCGTGTTGCAGCAGGGTATGGGACCAAGGCATTTGATAAGGCCTCCTTTTTTTCCTTCACCTCTAGGGTTCATGGTTGGTCCAACATACCCTGGTAATTGTTTTAATTTAGTGCAAGTGCTTTTTCTCTAGAAATTAGTGCTAGATGTTTTTTCGCACCTTGACATTCACTTTCATTTATATAATACATGCTTTTCTGCTCTGCATAGATGATATAGCTTGTTTTTGTACAGTTCATTTTTTCACTATGGGTTTTTAACTCTTTTGTTGTCAAATTATGTGCTGTCTAAGATGATCTCTATGTGTGATACAGGACCTCCTATATGCTACATTCCTGTTGCACCTCCAGGCTCTCTTAGGGGACCTCATCCTCCCCGTTTTGTTCCATATCCAATCAATCCGGGGGCTCCTATGCTTCCTCAAGAGATACAAACTTTGAAGGCTAGCATAATAAGACAGATAGAGTATTATTTCAGGTAAGTAATGTTAAAAAGCGACTTACTTCTGGATTCTCTCACTCCAGACATGCTTAACTGGTTTAAATTGCCACAATTGGATTCTGAGGCTGAAACTGACCTTCATCCTACTTCTCTTATTATTGAAGCATCAGCATCATTAATTTTGTCTGTTTTGCATACAATTATGAAGGAATGCAGATCTGCTTGTTAAATAGAGATGCTTTAGCCTAAATTGGACTGTCAAAGATATGTTCATATGGGATATATGAGTCCAACTTACCACAAATTACTCCTAAAATTATGTCCTTTTACGGCTTAATAATTATTACCATTATCATTGGATGCCAATGTTGTATGTCCTTCCATACACTTGTATGCTGAGCAATAGTAACCGAGCCTTTCTATGAAACACCAAAATATGCCCTTGGAACTTCTTGTAGTGAATTGGCTACAAATAGTCGGTCAATTTGTGTTGTGCATGCAATAACTTGATTATTTGTTGACTGTTTCACATCTTTATGCAGTGATGAAAATCTGTCGAAGGACCATTATCTAATATCCTTGATGGATGACCAAGGATGGGTTCCCATATCCACGATTGCTGAATTTAACAGGGTATTTTTTTAATTCTATATGGTATTTATATGTGTAGTGCTGTGTGAAATGGGAATCTTATTTCATTCAATATTGCATGTAAAGTATTATCTTATATTACTCAACATATCCACTTCCTTTGTATCTAGAGTTGAAGGACATCTAATTTTATTCATGCATGTGATATTTTGTATCACAGGTTAAGAAAATGATGACAGACATATCATTGATCCTTGATGCGCTGCAGAGTTCTGGCTTAATAGAAGTGCAGGTCTGAATACTCTTCACCGATTGACTTTATGTTTCATGCTGGATGGGATGGATCTGGAATTTTGCAATAAGATTTGTAGTATATCAATCAAGATTGTGTTTCATATTTCGTATAAATGGATATTTTCTTCCCTGTTAATTTTTTATTGACATGCCTGGCAAAAGCTGTTTAAATTGTTCAAAGGATGGATATCTTTGGATGGTCCAAAAATGTTGACTACATGATTAATCAATTCGACTTCCGTGGCCTTCTAAAGGTTTCTTTACTGTTTTCCTGGGATCTGGTTTTAGCCCCTTTGAACTGTATCCAAAAGTTTTTCCTAGTTGTGTCAGTTTCAGTCAAATTTGTGATGGGGTTTTGGCAAATGTTATGAAAACTGTTTATGTGAATGAGCACATGTTGTGTGGTATTTCTTTAATTATAGCTTAGCATTGAGTGGAGCCACATTGATAACTTTGAACTTGGGAGCCTAAGATGCTTGAGTCTGATAGTAAATGAAACAAGTTTCAAGTGCGTAATGTTATGGCCATCTAAAATTATGACAGCTTAACTAGAGTTGTGGGATAGATTGACAACTTATGAAGTCTCATGCTTAGTTTCTTTGCACTAATAGTCTTCCTATTGTGGTCGGCATTGTATTAACAGGGTGAAAAGATTCGGAAACGTGATTACTGGTCAAAGTGGATTCCTGCTGCTTCTCAGCAAGCAATGTCACTGAAAGCTCAGACTTCCGAGGGCCAACCTGGAAAGAATGCTGAGGAAGATAGCACAAGCGGTCTCTCCAAACAAAGTTCTGAATTTTCTTCTTGCACCACAGACAAGGAAGCAAAGAAATTGTCAAATGGAGATATTGGTAAACTGGAAGGTGATGAGAAGTCTGTCTTGTTTAAAGCTGGAAAACCTGGATTTGATGGGGATTCTGATCTTGGTGCTTGTCATACCACTCCCTATCCTGACAATACACAAGGATTTAGGCCTTTGGCACTCAATTATCATGTGACTGAGGGCATGGAAGATGCACAGAATCTTGCTGATTTTTCTAATGATTTTGCCAACACATTTATGCTTGATGAAGAGCTGGAGCTGGAGCAGAAATCACTCAAGAATGATGGCTGTTCTCCAGTTAGAAGGTACTGCATGGTCTTATATTTGTTTGGTTATCTCCATCTTTGGTTTTATATCTCTTTTCTTGCTAAGTGTGGTTTTACAAGAATTGTTGACTAGTTACTGGTCTCTAGACAACATATTCTTTATGATATTTAAACGCCTAAGGCTACATTCACATGCATATATTTTATTTCAGGCAGCTTTGTGGATGTCAATTTGGGCTCTAGTAAAAAATTCAAGTCATGTTTACATTTGGAGAATTTTCCAGCTTTTTAAAAAATTATTGTCGAGACAATAGAAAACTGTGGATGGATGTTTGGCAGTTACTGTTTTCTTAGAAAACTGGAAAACTACTAAATGTTGTTTTCCTAATTCTCCACTTTAGAAAACAAGGGCCATATATGGTTCAGCAGCCATTTAATCTATCTATCATTCCTTATTTTAGAAACAATCCAAATGCAATCCTTGTTTACATTTTAGAAATAATATTTTGAAAAGAAGAAATGAAAATTTAGTTTCTAAAAGTAAACGCCACCTCATCCTTGCAATTTCAGGTGCTGCATAAGTTGGATGCATTTGGTGTCCATTAGTTCACTCATAGTAAGTTTCTTCAGGCAGACATGTTTGATGGGGTGCAACATGGTTTCTCAACCTGCTATCTAGTCGCTTAGCTAATTGTCTGATATGCTTTTGGGATTTAGGTACTCAAAATTGAGATCACGGACTACTGTTGGTGAAGTTAATATAAGTTTTCAAAGCCATTTTCTAGTTTCATTGAAGTAGCATAAGGATTGGGGGCTTGCCATGTTGATTCTAAATTTGCCTATTTCTCAAGACGCTTGGAACATTTTTTTTACATGGTTGAAAATAGAGTAGAAGAAATAATGGGAAGAACTGACACTGCTGCAGATGTCATGTGAAATTTGATGAATGTGCTGATCAAGTATGGAAATTGAAAGTTCATGAATTTGAGGATTTGTATATCTTGTTCCTGTATCTTTATTGGCTAGATGAGGAACTAGTGGTTAAAAGTGGACAAGAGGCACAAAACTTACAACCACCCATAAGAAACTAGAATAGACCTAGCACACAGTTCCACTCCTATGAGTTTAGGATTGCCTTGCTAGGAGTCTTGATGTATTGCACCTTAGAGGGATGCATCTCACAATCCAATTAGGATTGCATCTTAGTCTCACTGCAAAGCACCAAGGCTAAACTATCTTACTCAAAACTACCGTTTAAAAAAAACTATATGTAGCTCCATGTGCATGGGTCCACCTTTTATCTGGGTGGCGCAGCTCCAAGGACCCTGTCTGTGGAGTCCCCTGGAACATATTAGGCATTGTCCCCTCTGGGCCCCATCTCTGTGGCCCTCACGGTCTTCTCCCGCCTCTGTTTGACAACGCCTGCCTCACTGTTTGAACCTCAGACCTCTCATACCATATGAGAGGTAGAAAAATTAAAGATGAGTACCAAATGAGCTGTCAGTATGTGTTCTTGGACTGTCAAGTGACCTGTTCTCAGATTCCCACATATCAATAAAGAGATTCTTCAGGCAGTCATTTGGCCTGCATTACTTTGAGCATATATGCAGAGACTGTCTTGAAGTTTGAAGAAAACTCCTTTTGTCATACTAGAACAATAATGTTCTGTTTATAACTTTCATTCTTTTAGCTCTCACAGACCTTATTTATAGATGCAAGTAAAAATCAACAGGGTAGTTTCAATTGTTGGATAAAAGGATAATGTGTGAAGAGAAAGGATAGGTAGGAAAGTTTTGTTTTTTTTTCTCATTGAACATCTGTTGATACATGCAATAAGGCACTAAATTGCAGGCACCAAGAATTCCTAGTAGGAAACAAAATCCCTCAAACATCACATGATTTGAAACCATGCCTTTCTTTTTTCCAGGGTGGATGACGAAGAGGATGAGATGGTGGTCAATGATCAGGATGTTCAAAGACTTGTAATTGTCACCCAGGTAAAGCTGTTTGCTGGCAAGTTTATATTCCTAGGAAAGAATAATTATATGTACTTAGCAATCTATGTTCCTTGTTTTTATTTATTTATTATTATTACTGTTCAATATCTGCATAGACCATAGCAACTTGTAGACATATCTGTGTAGTTATATGGATGTGATAACGCTAGAATTTGGGCATTTTTGTAGCGCTCTGATGCATCTTAGAGGTTTTTCTTAGTTTTTTTTCTTTTAAAGGAAGCTGATTGCTGTCTCAGAGTTTTATATGCCATGCATATGCCTTTTTGTTCTTTCATCAATTATGGATTATATTGTCACAGTTTTTATTCTTACAGGTTGTAGTTGTTTGAAAGCCACATCTCAACTCCTTGCAATCAGCAACCTTTTTCACTTCATGTGCATCATTTGGGTCAAACTGAATTACTGAATTGAAACAATGATGTGTATTGGTCAATTAGGTTTGTTTTAGTGATAGTTTTTACTTTTTCTCATTTCTCAGTTATCAATTAGTTGCATGATGGTTTTTGCTATAGTTTAGCCTACATTCATGTATTCATGTGAGCGGCATATATTATGTAGGCATGTATGAGCATGAGTCGGACCATAAATTTGGTAACATTTTTGTAACACCATGTATGTATTCATGTGAGTGGCATATATTATGTAGGCATGTATGTGCATGAGTCGGAACATAAATTTGGTAACATTTTTATAACTTGTGGGCTTTCTCTGTGCAGAATAGTAGACCAGGAGAAGAATCTATTAAATCTGGGGATAAATCAAAATCTATTTCAGTTGAGCTTGCTTCAGCAATAAATGATGGTTTATACTTCTATGAACAGGTTGGGACTTCTGTTATACTCATTATCTAAATAATTAAGTTGCAATACATCACTTTCATTTTCTTTGGAAATCCTCAATGGTTGTCTAAAAATTCTTAAATGTGACTCTTTACTGGCAGGAGCTAAAAACAAAGCGATCTAATCGTAGAAAGAATAGTTCTAGCTATTCAAAGGCTGGTGAAATTTCCGCTGCAAGCTGTGTCCATGAAGAGTCAGGAAGCTCCAACCACACAAGGAAACAAAACAAAGGTTTTCCCAAGCAGCAGTCATCTCATACGCAACGATTCTTCTCCAGCAACTTTAGGAATCATGGCACTGGTCGTAATAATTTTGGAATCATATCAGAAAGTCCACCAAGCAATTCAGTTGGATTTTTCTTTAGTTCTACACCTCCTGAAAATCACGGGTCAGTCTAAGTGACTCTGGCCCTTGCCGAAGCCTCTTATTTCTTTTCTGTCATATTTTTTTATTCTTGTTGTTTATTTATTTATTTTTGCTACATTATTAATATATGGTGGCACTATTCTAGAATTCTTCTTTAGGTTCTGATGAGAGAATAATATGGCATTGATCACTAATTTCATAACTTGGGATGTTATTTGCAATATGCTAAGCAAACATCCATGTCACCTGACTAAATATTTTCCATCTAAATCCTAACTTCACAGACCCAGGTCTTCAAAGCTGAGTGTTTCACCACATGGCATGCTCTCAGGCAGCAGTCCACCAGTGGGTTCCATGCCAAATTCATTTCCACCATTTCAGCATCCCAGCCATCAACTCTTAGAAGAAAATGGCTTTAAACAGCAGAAGTACGTGTCTTTTATTTTTGGGATGGGGGATATGTGCATTCATAGCACAAGGTTGCTGACCTGTTTCTCTTCCCTTTTAGGTACCTGAAGTATCGTAAACGGTGCTTAAATGATAGAAAGAAGATGGGAATAGGTTGCAGTGAGGTGTGTTTCTTAAATTTCTCCTATACATGTTTATTGACTAGAGGAGAAATATAATTCTAGATTAGTTTGAGAACTATGCGATGTGCTGGAGTTGGATCCTTCCTATCCTTCTTTCTCTAAATCTCATCCATTCACTAGCTGATTTTTGTTGTCTATTCTTTAAGTAGTTATACTTCCATGTTGAACATACTCTAAGCACTAGATTGCATGGTGTTGATCTATTTGGTTAATGTTAATTATGTTAATTCTTATATTAACATAGCCAAGGGACTTTATGTTAATTATGTTGATCTAGATTGGGTAAGCCAAGGGATTTTTTTTGAATCACTAGCATAGCCATCTTGGCATGTCTTAAAGTCAATTTTATTTTTATTTTTCTTTTCTTAATTTTCCTAATTGGATTACTTGTCCTGTTTCGAATTTTTGAATGGTGTCTTAACAGTATGTAATTGTTGTGATTTTTTTTAAATCATTTTCCATGCAGGAAATGAACACACTGTATAGGTTTTGGTCATACTTCCTTAGAAACATGTTTGTCCCATCTATGTATAATGAGTTCCGAAAATTTGCTCTGGAAGATGCTTCTGCTAATTACTATTATGGGATGGAGTGCCTTTTCAGGTTCTATAGGTATTGTTGATAAATTATACTTTTGTTAATTTCGAATACTGGAGCTTGTATCTGAGATTTGTTGCTCTTTTCAACCATTACCATTCTTCAAATATATCTTTTCCCTACTTTAGGGAAAGTAGTAGGTACTAATTTTGCTTGTTCTTTCATGTATTCTACTATTTAATTGTTTGCTACTCTCAATTGTGTTTCTCATTTTCAGCTATGGTTTGGAGAAGAATTTCAGAGATGACCTGTACAAGGACTTTGAAGAACTCACCCTTGACTTCTATTGCAAAGGCAACATTTATGGCCTCGAAAAATATTGGTAATACCATTTGAATTTTCTTTTCAACTGACTGACAGCATGTTCTTTAGGTTGCCTGCTTCTCAAGGCATGAATATCTTGTACATCATGTTTTTTTTGTGGATCTCACAAATACACTGATTGTGATTAAACTTAACCTTTTGGTAGAATATGCTAATGTAGGAAAGCAAGAAACAAATATTATCTGAAAATTAATTTAATTTCATGCTGGATCTTTATGGGCTTAAAAATGACCACTTGTTGCTTACATGATTACAGATTAATGGGAAAATTGCCTAAAATACGATCTTGTTGTGATTGTAAAAATGGCCTAAAATACAATCTTGTTGTGATGGTAAAGTTAAGTGCAAAGCTGCAACATAACCTGATGTTTGACCCAGTAGAGCAATAACAACCGCAATTAACTACTGAGATGAGGATTTGGAGGTGGGCATGGGTTGGACTTTTCAAGACAGAAACTTCTATGGGATAAAAGATTACCAAGTGACAAACATTGGTTTTTTTAACTTATTTATGCTCTATTTATTTATTAAAGTTGCCTGGATTTGTAGAATATAGGACAATTGGCAGAATGTATAGCTGTATGCTATTCTCATCTCTTTCAAGTCTTGCGGAAGGAAAACACAATTACAGAAAAACAGCTTGTGCATTGCATTCTCTTCTGAGTTTGATGCTTGTATTTCCACTGGTACATTTTGCTGCTACAAGTATTTGCTTTAATAGACTTGCTTTTCTGCTATTAGGGCCTTCCACCATTATTGTGGTCTAGGTGACAAAGAACCAAAGAAACATCCAGAATTGGACAGGTTACTGAGAGAAGAATACCGTAGCTTGGAGGACTTCCGTGCCAGAGAGAGGTCCATGAAGAAGGACGGCCATTAGCCTGCTGCAATGAACATTTTCTGGTAACATCTTCGCAATTTTGAGAGTCACAAGATGGATATTGAAGTTAGCTGCAGGAGTTTGGTTTGCTTGCTGGGGGAATATGGTTTTTGTATATTGTATACTGGGGGAATCATCTGCACCTCTCAGGGCTTCTGACTGCTGAGGTTTTGTTTTGTTTTTTTCTTCTTTTGGAGGTTCTGGCTCCCGGGTATATCCTATCCTTTTTGGTGTTGTCTGCAAGTTTAGGAGGTGCTTGTGCTTTTTCTCTATCGCTTCATATTCCCCCAATGCTGTAACTTGTACATAAGGAGAACTGGAAAAAAAAAAAAAAAAAAAAAAAACCACCCCGGGTTGAAATTGCTTTAGTGACCTTGTGAAAATTGAAGAATAATAAGATATTGGAAATTTATATCCTGTCTTGCAAATGATTGGTAGAAATTTATGCTGTCAGTTTTTGTGATTGCCTGTAGTTTTTTGGTACTAGAATGATGATTTCCAATGAGTTCTTGTGCTATTGAAACCCGTAACGGTGAGATGTCGTTGTCCTGGTCTGGTGTGTTGCTTGCTAGGTATCCTTCATTGCCCAAATAAACCAAGATATCCTTGGTTTTAGGTGGTATGCGGCTTCTTAAAGGAGAAGGGGAAATGGCAGTTAGTAGAAAACAGTGATGCTACTAATACGGCTTGGGAAATCATCTTTTACAAAAATTTAATTTTTTTTATATGTTTTGGATATAAGTTAATTTTAAAAATGATTTTTTTAAAATAAAAAAATATTTTAAGTTAAGTTTCTGTGTTTGCCTTCACATCTCTACCTCGACGCTTTGCTTAAAATTTTCAAAAATGATATGGAATTTGTGCTGCTGCTCTTCTGCTAGGGCGGGAAGAAGATAATACGCCTAGTGTTCTTTTGCTTTCCCAGCCTCTGGCTTCTAAGGGCTGCCTTCTGTTGGCCAGCCTACCACGACGATCCCGTGTCTCGAAACCAAACCTAAAACCCCAAGCTCCTTCGTTGTATAGGTTGCAGCTATGAAGCTTACCATGTTATTTAGAGGAAGGGGAAGGCACTCTTGCAGCTGGTGTGCAGGTTTGAAAAACCGTTTTCCTCAGCTTACAGGAAAGCTAACTTTGTGAGAGGAAAGATGATGTAAGTGGCATGTTTTTTAATGACTCTATTGCACTCCAAGATGTCCAAAGGGATGAGTTTGAGAATATACTAGGTTTCAAGATGCCTGATCTTGCATTATTGGTTTCAAAATCACACTATTGACTTTGGATGTTGGTTCGGCTAAAGACGAATCAGCATGTATATTCGTCATCTAAATCTCATTTATTATTTCAGAGATGAACCAGAATTTCTAGTTTATCGTGCCAGAAAACAGCCTGCGGTATTCTCAAGGGTTGATGTCCTTGGCAAGTCTTGGAAACTCGAAGGCTTGCGAACTCTGAACTAGTAGGGTTCTGACATCACGGAGTTACTGGCTTCAATTGGCAAGCTGAAACTTTTGAGATTCAGTGGATGTCTTGATGTCCCAAGGACTGGAGTCCAAGCATTTCCAGAATCCATCACAAACTCTTACCATTTACGAACTTTAAGATTCAGTGGATGCTGGTTGCTTGAAAAGCTTCCTAGAACAATGAGAAATTTGGTGAGCTTAAGGCATCTTTAGTTTAGTGAAGATGGCCCCATGCCATCTAAATTTGATGTTGGGTGCTTAACTAGTCTTTGAACATTGCAGCCCTTCTTTTTTGGAGGTTCAGATACGGGCTATAAAATTGATGAGTTGGGATGCTTGAATGAACCAAGAGGAGAGTTGCAGGTACGCAATCTTGAGGAGGTGAAAGACAGAAGAAGCTGAGAAAGCAAAGCTAGATAGAAAGGCAAACATTTGCAAATTGGGATTGAAATGGAGTTCACGAAGACTAAAAAAAAAAAGTGCAACGCCAATGATGAGGATGTGTTGGAAGGCCTCCAGCCTCACCCAGACATAGAAAGTTCATGGATTGTGTGTTGTATGGGTAAGAAGTTCCCATCATGGCTTTTGATGCCCGTACTCCATAATTTGGTGGAGCTGAAATTGGGAGAGCGCAACTATTGCCAACAGCTCTCTTCACTTGGACATCTTCCATATCTTAAAATTCTTGGGATAGAAGAAATGAATGGTGTGAATCATTCAGGCAGTGAATTTTATAGCGGTGGTGAATGTGATAGGGATACGACAATTCCGGCAGTAGTGTTTCAAGCATTATAAAGATTATCTCCCATGAGAAAGGAGACTCCAGTTGAATGGACGGTACCTCGGGGAGGAGCAAGTGAAGGAGGTGGAGGAGATGCAGTTGTGGTGTTTCCCTGCCTTAAGAGTTGCACATCGAAAATTGTCTCCGGCTGAAAAACATTGCTCCAGTGAATCATCATGGTTCTTTATCACTAGGACATCTTCCTCATACTGAAATTCTTGAGATTAAAGGATTAGATAGCCTTAGTTGTGTAGGCAATGAGTGTTGCCGTCGTGGATGTAGTAGGAGTTCGGATACAACACGCCTCGACACCAGTTGAAAAGGATAGTACCTCGAGGAGGAGAAAGCGCATGTGGTGGAGGAGATGTCGTTGTGGTATTATTACCTTGCCTTGAAGAGCTGAACATGGTTGAGTGCCCCCAGTTGAAAGGCGTTCCTCCTGAGTAATGTTTCATCAAAAATTGTAAAATTGGAGATCAGGATATGTGGGGAATAGGGCCTTTTATCTGGAGAATTTCATGCCCCAACACATTTTAGAGCTTAGTCTGATAAATCCTTGCTTTAATGATGGCTGACAAATACTGCTAATGAGGGCCATTTGAACCTTGTACGTAAAATAAGTCCATTATAATCAAGACAACACAACTTGGCGTTTTCAATTTGAGTATGAGATGGCTAGCTTCACATAAGAAAATCTCTTTATTAAATAATATTTTTTTAATTTTTAAAATTTTTAGATTAATTATTTAGATATTGTTTATGTTAATATTTTTGTTACAACTCTCTCTTTAGATTAATTATTTAGATATTATTTATGTTAATATTTTTGTTACAACTCTCTTTACTATTCAAGCACTGCACGAAACAAGCAAAAAAGGAGGAATAAGAGAAGAGATATGCATGTTGTCCAATCCTTTAGTTATATAGCTTTTGGTCATATTACTATAAATTACCTCGAGAAGTCTTGTAACTACTACAAGAAACATGATCCTGTCATCTCCATTTATCTCATTCAACATGAAAGGAACTAAGGAACTAGTTATTATGCTTTCATTGGTGTCTCTAGCTCTATTGTCTTAGCTGTTGTTACTATTTCTACTTTATAGGCTTAGCAAACTTGAATGCACTCACTCATGAAATAATACAACAGATGATCATTTCTACTCTTTCTGCTATTGAGTTATCAGGTAATCATAAATTTCCTTTTAAGCCATGGTATTTGAACTCTGGTGCCTCTAACTATATGATCAATATTTTTGTTTCTCTTTCCAATATTAAAAATTATGATGGAAATCTGAAAATTAATACTGATAATGGCAGTTCTCTACCTATCAGTGTTGTTGGTGATCCTTCTTCTTCTTTAACTAATGTTTTTGTGTCTCCTGACCTCTCTATAAATCTTATTTATGTTGGTCAATTGGTTGATAATAATTGTGATGTCCATTTCTCTTATTTTGATTGTGTTGTACAAGATCATGTGTCAGGAAGATGATCGCAAAGAGGCCTAAAGTAGAACAATTCTTTCCTCTTCATGTTTCTCCTTCCACCAGTTTTCCTAGTTTTTCTTTACTTTTCTTTGTATGTAATTTTATTGGTTCTGAAAATAAGATGTGGCATAAACATCTAGTCAGCCAAACTCTGATGTACTTTGGACATTGATTAATTTTGGATTACTAGAAAATAGGACATGTTATTTTCTTGATCTTTCTTTTGATTGTACATAATGCAAACTTGAAAAAAGTAAAGTTATACCTTTCCCTTATCATGCATCTCGTGCTTCCAGATGTTTCGATATTATTCGTAGATGTACTTTGCACATTGATTAATTTTGGATTATTAGGAAATAAAGCTTGTTATTTTCTTGATCTTTCTTTTGATTGTACATCATGCAAACTTTGTAAAAGTAAAGTTCTAGCTTTTTCTCATCATGCATCTCGTGCTTTCAGATGTTTTGATATTATTCATAGTAATATTTAGAGGATTGTACTTGTTATTTCTCATACTCATTACAAGTACTTTGTTACTTTCATTGGTGACTTTAGTCACTTTACTTGGGTTTACTTTCTTTGGGCTAATGCTGAAGTTTTTTAAGTTTTTAAGTGATTCTTTGCACTTCTTAAAACTCAATTCCGTGTCAGCATCAAGGTCTTACACAATGATTCTAGTGACGAATACATGTCTAATAAGTTTCAAAACTTTTTTTCAAAGCAAAGGGATCATCTCTTGGCTTTCTTATCCTTCGATACCACAGCAAAATAGTGTAATTGAAAGGAAAAATCATCGCCTTTTTTATATAGTAAGAACTCTTTTACTTGAATCATTTATTCCTCTTCGTTTTTGGTATGAAACACTTTCTACTTCATTTCATTTGATCAATCGCTTACCTTTTCCTACATTAAATAATGTTTTCCCTTTTTAAGTTATTTGGTTATTCTCCTTTATATTTTAATCTTTATACATTTGGTTGTGTTTGTTTTATGCATCTCCCTGCTCATAAACGACATAAACTTACTACTAAGTCTGTTAAGTGTGTTTTTTCTTAGTGATTGTGTCCTTCAAAAGGGTTATGTTTGTTATGATCCTCATGTTTGTCATATATGATATTCTAAGAATATAATTTTCTTTGAATATAAATATTTATTTTCATCTTATGTTGAATTGTTGTTTGCATCTTTACCTTTTTTGCCTGGTTTTTCTGATCCCCCAACAATTGCAAAAAGGTTCGAACTTATTATGACCCGAGTCCCGAATCCATGACCGGCATATAAATAAGGTTTCCCTCCAAGGTTATATACCTATAGGAACTCAAACTTACATAGAAGCTCATCCTTTAAATAACTCAATCAAAGTTCAACAAGCAATAACAACAAAACTAACTTCATAATATAATTTAATTGTCTTAATATAAGAGTTAATATAATTTTATAATTACAAAGCACTAATTAGACATAAAAAATATAAATTTCAATAAAAGAGCAGGTCTTGAATGTCCAACAAAATGACTCGCTAACAAGCTATAAGCCTAAAAAGATAAAAAATGAGAGGGTGAGTTCAATAGCTCAGTGAGTAGATAACATTCAATATACATGAGGTAATACAACAATGAGAAATATATATACATGTATGATTTTATGTTCTTATAGGAAGATTTTTCAAATAGACCACAACAAAAATA